TTAGAGTGATTTCTGAAGGATCATGTGACACTGAAGACTGAATGGAAAATGGAAATTTGAATATAGTTTTAAACTATGTTAATAATTTACAATATTATTGTTTTTGCTACATTTTTTTATTAAATAAATTCAGCCTTGCTTAGCATATAAGATACTTCTTTCAAAAATCTTAAAACATCTGACCAGTTCAATATAAAACAAATGCTTATTTATACAACAAAAATCCATATTATGAAATAGGCATTTTGTTTATTCAAAATGCAAATTGTTTTTTCTTAAAAAAAAAAATGTCTCGCATATATGTGAGAGTATGTGCCGGTGGTCCTGTGGTTGATCTGATCAGCTGACAGCAAATGACTCCCAGCATCAGCCTTACCAGCTGACTCATCTTGCTGCCATAGCAACGCCCAGGCCTGAGGCAGCATGACTTCCTCCACAAGGTGTGTCCTAAAGAGGGGCTACACCTGATCATGTGACACGCTCATTATCGTCACACGCCAAATAGTCCAGGTCTAGACATGCTTGCCAGAGAACAGCAGCAGGCCTCTCTTCATAGCTGTGAAATTACATTTCATAGCTCGTATTAAAGACAATACCATGAACCTGTCCAAGCAAATTAGGGTTTAAACCTATTTAGAGCTATTATAGACCTCCTTAGGGTAGGTGCATATTTAATGTGTATGAAATGAGCCTGTGAGGGACAGAAGTTTGTTAAATGGGTCATTTGTACCGGTGTTGATCATTAATATATTGTTGACATTTAAAAATATGTCTTTTCAGTGAACAAAAAGCTGAAAGAATAATATATTGGTACCATATTAGTAGGCGTCAGTTGGGAAATACTGGCATATATTTAATTATGCTTTTTTTACAGTTTTAACATTAAGATTACCTTTGCTGTCATTTAATGCTCACGTAAAAGTAATCTTCAAAAAATATACATTATAGTTCAAATTAATAGTGTTGGTAGGATGTTTTTGAATGAAGTGTCTCATTTGATCACAAATACAGTAAAAGCAGTAATATTGTGATATATTATTACAATTTAAATGAACTCTTTCTATTTGAATATATTTTAAAATGTAATTTATT